GAGAGTATCACAGAAAGTGTGTGTGTGAGTGTGAGAGAGAGAGAGAGAGAGAGAGTGTGTGTGTGTGTTTATATAGAGACTTGAACCTTCAGATCTTTTTATTGCTTCATTTAGGAGATGTTATAACAAACTAGTTGAAAAGTATTTACATGTGACAAAAGATGGAGCAGATCCAATTCCTATAAATGGTAATGTATCTCCCTTGTCTATATAACTCATGCTAACTTTAATACAATAGTCACCATTAAAAGTTTTTACAACCATCCTTTAAGATAAACAGTGTTCTCCCCCTATCAAGTACAGGCCCTAATCCTGCAAACATTAAGTCCATATGTAACCCCAGCAACCCTATAGAAAGGACTTGAAAAATTTACCCAGGACCTAATAGCCCAAGGATTAAACCTTACTCCCCAGACAGAAAATATACTAGTGCCTGAGCTTTGCCCCTCCTACTCAGTCTTGAGCTGGTCAGATACTCACTCCCACAGGATCTTCAGGCCCAAGAACTCCCAAATGACTGAACTCTTCACCCCCAATTAATATTAGATGCATACGCACACACACACCTCACGTTTTAATTCACTTGTATTATGAGAGCCTACACATCTCAACCAGAACCGGGGCCCCATTTACTAGGCATTGTAAAAACATACAAAGACACAGTCTCAAAGATCCTTACTGGTCCCAGCCCTAACCCCAGCTTGGGGATACTTACTGGCTCCAACCCAAAATTCTAGCCTAGGGAGCCTGCCAACTCCAAACCTAACCAAAGCCCTGACTGGCTTATCGGCCCCAACCTTCCCCATCCCACCAACAGATGAATTCATTCTCAGTTTTTACACCAAATCTTCTTTTCAAGTGGCAAGAACACCCTTCCTCCAGAGCACTCTGCTGGGGTGACAAGGTCGTTTTGGCAGAATCCTGCCACACATGTACTAGGTGACTGACCGTCTGCCCTCTCATGCTGGGATACCTGCAAAGATGGACACGCTGAGAGCACAGCTGCCATACCCACACTTCTCATAAGGGTATGTCTTCACTGGGTTTTAGTCCAACCTCTCCCAACCATCCCCACAGAAAAACCTCTAACCAGATTAGGAGGTGCTTTAAGCCAGGGCTAGTTTAAACGGATGAGGGGGGTCAATTAGAGCCTGTTTCAACTCAGTCTGGAACCAGCAAATTTTGCAGTCGGGACACAGGCAAAAAAACAAAGACAGACAAGTGTTGATAGTTCATAACTCCCCCAATGACCAGTTCTCCTACAATTGACACAACTGACTGGAAAAGAAACCTAGATCACCACAGTACAGGACCATGGGATGTGCCCCCAAACACACATGGGCAAGTGCAGAAACAGTGAGGACAGAGTAATATAGGTAGAGCTTTGCTGAGGGTATGCTTGCAACTGCACTAGGCTAACCTGGTTGCTCAGACCCAGGTGCCAATCAACCAGGTTAACTACCAATGAAGACACACACACTAACAGTGGCAGCAGCACTGGAGCTGTCTCTCTGTAGACTTAGGAAGACATCGATGCACCATTTACAATTATTCCACATTTGGAAGGATTTCTTCAAAACCCAGAAGACCAGAAACTTAATTATTTTTTAAATGAAAGCTTAGATTCTGCAGGAGTTGATGGCACTCACCCACACAGATTCCTACTAGACTGGTCCTGGACAAGACAATTTTTTCAAGTCTTGGTCATAGGGATTACCATAAATATTGCCACTGACATAATAAATCAGTAAGGCGTCCTTATAAATTTTATCTATTTAGGATTTCTAACAGAATGAATGCCAGTGAATATTAATTATTTAAAAATAATTTAAAGATTCTAACAGCAACCATAAGTAAGAGGGCTCCGCTATAGAAGCAGAGTTATTTCTCATCAAACACTCAGACCAGAAAGTATTATCACAATCATACATTATTGCTTCATATCTGCAATTAGATTCTACACAAGTCTTACCTGACCTAAATTCTTCTAGCACGAACATCTATTTTTGATCAATAATTCCAAATGCACACAATGAACACATAATTTACATAATGCCACCTACCTGCAGCTGCTAAACACAAAATCATCAAAGCAAACACTGGAATCACACAACTTGAAGTCATTTTTGCAACACTGGGTCTTCTCAAATCAACTCCTTTTGTAGTTCTTCATGTAGATGTACTTCCTTTGAAATCAGTGGTATATGCTTTGAAATCAAGTCTTCCAGACTTTTAATTATCTACTGAGAGAAAAAAAATATTTTAATAGAAATATGTCTTATAGAAATGTCATCTATTTTAAATTATATCTATCTTTTTGTATCATATCTAGCAAAACAGAGGTATTTCTTAAAGAAGAATTACACAAGTGTATTTTACATTGCTGAATAACCTAAGTAGCAAAAGGGACACTTAGCATATAACTAATCTTTTCCCCTTTCATTTTTCTATCTTGTCCATCCTCCCAAAATAATCACACCAGCTGTGTCCTGTTCCAATACAGCAAACAGAGCTGTATTGAAAGCTGTATTCTAATCACTGCAGGGCTGTTGAGAGGCAAACAATGCAGCACATGGCCCAACAACCTCATACTTAAGTTCCCACCCTTTTCCCTCACTAGATGACACTGAAGAGACCCCTCTGCAGGGTCCCACAGAATGGAGGAGAAAGACATTGCAACAGAAGTTCCACTGGCTGTAAACAAATTCAAATGGGAAATAAGGTATACATTAATGAGAGTCATTTATCATTTGAACAATTTACATGGGCTCATGGTAGATTCTCCATCACTGACAATTTTTAAATATAGATTGGTATTTTTCTAAAATATATGCACTAGAAATTATTTTGGGTAAATTCTATGGCCTATGCTATACTGGAGGTCAGTCTAGACTGTCACAATAGTCCCTTCTGGCCTTAGAATCTATGGGTATGTCTACACTACGAAATTAGGTCAAATTTAAAGAAGTCGATTTTATACAGTCAATTGTGTATGTCCCCACTTAAGACCATTAAGTCGGCAGAGTGCGTCCATAGTACCGAGGCTAGCATCGACTTTTGGAGCATTGCACTGTGGGTAGCTAACCCACAGTTCCCGTAGACTCTGCCGCCTATTGGAATTCTGGGTTGAGCTCCCAATGCCTGATGGGGCATAAACATTGTCGCGGGTGGTTCTGGGTAAATGTCGTCAGCCCCCCCGTGAAAGCAATGGCAAAAAATCGTTTCTCGCCTTTTTTCCTGGGTTACCACGGCAAGCATGGAGCCTGCTCAGCTCACCATACATCTCCTGAGTGCTGCCAGATGTGGTACTGCATTGCTACATAGCAGCAGCTCATTGCCTTTTGGCAGCAGATGGTGCATTACGACTGGTAGCCGTCATCATTGTCTCCTGGGTGCTCTTTTAACCGACCTCGGTAAGGTCGGTCGGGGGCGCCTGGACATAAATGGGAGACGACGATGGCTAGCAGTCGTACTGCACCATCTGCTGCCAGCCTAAGATGTATAAGGGTATGTCTATACTTACCCGCTGGTTCGGCGGCAAGCAATCAATCTTCTGGGATTGATTTATCGCGTCTTGTCTAGACGCAATAAATCGATCCTGGAGGTGCTCGCCGTCGACACCGGTAATCCTGCTCCGCAAGAGGAGTAGGCGGAGTCGAGGGGGGAGCCTGCCTGCCGCGTGTGGACCCACGGTAAGTACCTTTAAGTTCGAACTAAGATACTTCAACTTCAGCTACGTTATTCACGTAGCTGAAGTTGCATATCTTAGTTCGAACTGGGGGCTTAATGTGGACCAGCCACTCCATCTAAGAGAGATAGAGTGGATCAAAACAATAGAGAGACCAGATTTGTTTTGTATTCATTTGTTCCCTCCCTCCGTGAATAGTGGGGGGAGGGATAGCTCAGTGGTTTGAGTATTGGCCTGCTAAACCCAGGGTTTTGAGTTCAATCCTTGAGGGGGCCATTCTGTGTGACAACCCTGTAAGCCATGTTGTCAGTCGCCCCTCCCTCCGTCAGAGTAATAGCAGACAATCGTTTCGCGCCTTTTTTCAGCGCAGACGCCATAGCACGGCAAGCATGGAGCCCACTCAGCTCACCGCCACAATTATGAGCACTGTAAACACCACGCGCATTATTCTGCAGTATATGCGGAACCAGAACCTGCAAAAGCAAGACCAGGTGAGGAGGCGATGGCAGCACGGTGACGAGAGCGATGAAGACATGGACACAGACTTCTCTCAAAGTACGGGCCCCAGCAATGTGGACATCATAGTGTTAATGGGGCAGGTTCATGCTGTGGAACGCCGATTCTGGGCCCGGGAAACAAGCAGACTGGTGGGACAGCATAGTGTTGCATGTCTGGGACGATTCCCAGTGGCTGCGAAGCTTTCGTATGCGTAAGGGCACTTTCATGGAACTTTGTGACTTGCTTTCCCCTGCCTTGAAGCACAAGAATACCAAGATGAGAGAAGCCCTCATAGTTCACAAGCGAGTGGCGATAGCCCTGTGGAAGTTTGCAACGCCAGACAGCTACCGGCCACGCGGGAATCAATTTGGAGTGGGCAAATCTACTGTGGGGGCTGCTGTGACCCAAGTAGCCAACACAATCAAAGAGCTGCTGATATCAAGGGTAGTGACTCTGGGAAATGTGCAGGTCATAGTGGATGACTTTGCTGCAATGGGATTCCCTAACTGTGGCGGGGCGATAGACGGAACCATATCCCTATCTTGGCACCATAGCACCAAGCCAGCGAGTACATAAACCAGAACGGGTACTTTTCAATGGTGCTGCAAGCACTGGTGGATCACAAGGGACGTTTCACCAACATCAGTGTTGGATGTCCGGGAAAGGTACATGACACTCGCATCTTCAGGAACTCAGGTCTGTTTCAAAAGCTGCAGCAAGGGACTTTCTTCCCAGACCAGAAAATAACCGTTGCGGATGTTGAAATGCCTATAGTTATCCTTGGGGACCCAGCCTACCCCTTAATGCCATGGCTCATGAAGCCGTACACAGGCACACTGGACAGGAGCTATTCAACTATAGGCCGAGCAAGTGCAGAATGGTGGTAGAATGTGCATTTGGACATTTAAAAGTGCGCTGGTGCAGTTTACTGACTCGGATAGACCTCAGAGAAACCAATATTCCCATTGTTATTACCGCTTGCTGTGCGCTCCACAATATCGGTGAGAGTAAGGGGGGAGAGGTTTATGGCGGGGTAGGAGATTGAGGCAAATCGCCTGGCAGCTGATTACGTGCAGCCAGACACCAGGGCAGTTAGCAGAGTATAGGAGGGCACAGTGCGCATCAGAGAAGCTTTGAAAACCAGTTTCATGACTGGCCAGGCTACGGTGTGAAAGTTCTGATTGTTTCTCCTTGATGAAACCCCTCCCCCCAAACCTTGGTTCACTCTACTTCCCTGTAAGCTAATCACCCTCCCCTCCCCCCTTCGATCACCACTTGCAGAGGCAATAAAGTCATTGCTGCTCCACATTCATGCATTCTTTATTAATTCATCACACAAATAGGGGGATAACTGCCAAAGTAGCATGGAAGGGGTGGGGGAGGAGGGAAGGACAAGGCCACACTGCACTTTAAAACGTATTGAATGCCAGCTTTCTGTTGCTTGGGCAGTCCTGTGGGGTTGAGTGGCTAGGTGCCCAGAGACACCCCCCCCCACCGTGTTCTTAGGCATCTGGGTGAGGAGGCTATGGAACTTGGGGAGGAGGGCAGTTGGTTACACAGGGGCTGTAGTGGCAGTCTGTGCTAAATCTGCCTTTCCTGAACCTCAACCATATGCCGGAGCATATTCGTTTGTTCCTCCAGTAGCCTCAGAATTGCCTCTTGCCTTCTGTCACCAAGCTGACGCCACCTATCATCTTCAGCCCGCCACCTGTCCTCACGTTCATATTGTGCTTTCCTGGACTCTGACATTGTCTGCCTCCACGCATTCTGCTGGGCTCTTTCAGTATGGGAGGACTGCATAAGCTCAGAGAACATTTCATTGCGAGTGCGGTTTTTTTCGCCTTCTAATCTTCGCTAGCCTCTGGGAAGGAGAAGATAGTGTGAGCGTTGAAACATTTGCAGTTGGTGGAGGGAAAAAAGGGAGAGTGGTAGTTAAAAAGACATTTCAAAGAACAACAAACAGTTGTTCACAGTAAACCTTGCTGTTAACATTACATAGCACAGGTGCTTTCGGTACAAGGTCGCATTTTGCCTCTTATCGAGGGTATGCCGGTTTGGTGTGAGAGATCTTTCACACAGGGCCAGGCAACAGAATTTGGCTTGCAAGCAGCCATGATAAGACACAGTCTTTTGTCTTCTTTAACCTTCATAACATGTGGGAATGATTTCAAACAGCAGCACCCTCATTTCCCATACCAAGCAGCCGTTGGGTTGGCCATTTAAAAGGAGGAGGGGCTGCGGTTTTCGGGTTAACGTGCAGCACAAACACAACTAACCCCTTCCCCCCACACACACACACCCCCAATTCTCTGGGATGATCGCTTCACCCCTCCCCCCACCTCGTGGCTAACAGCGGGGAACATTTCTGTTCAGCCACAGGCATACAGCCCAGCAGGAACGGGCACCTCTGAACATCCCCTTCATAAAATCACCCTATTTCAACCAGGTGACCAGGAATGATATCACTCTCCTGAGGATAACACAGAGCGATAAAGAACGTATGTTGTTTGAACGCCAGCAAACACCGGGACCATCCGCTGCCATGCTTTGTTATGCAAGGATTCCAGACTACGTGCTACTGGCCTGGCGTGGTAAAGTGTCCTACCATGGAGGACGAAATAAGGCTGCCCTCTCCAGAAACGTTTTGCAAAGGCTTTGGGAGTACATCCAGGAGAGCTTTATGGAGATGCCCCTGGAGGATTTCCGCTCCATCCCCAGACACATTAGCAGACTTTTCCAGTAGCTGTACTGGCCATGAATGCCAGGGCAAATTAATCATTAAACACACTTGCTTTTAAACCATGTATAATATTTACAAAGGTACACTCACCAGAGGTCTCTTCTCTACCTGGCAGGTCCAGGAGGCAGCCTTGGATGAGTTCGGGGGGTACTGACTCCAGGTCCAGGGTGAGAAACAGTTCCTGGCTGTCGGGGGAAACGGTTTCTCCACTTCCTTGCTGTGAGCTATCTTCCTCATCCCCAAAACCCGCATCCCTGTTGCGTGCTACTCCATTGACGGAGTCAAAGCACAGGGGTGGGGTAGTAGGGTGACCAGAC